TGGTTTGGATGTTGTTGTTTGTTGGTTTTTTTGGATGCGGGGGGCGCGGGGGGGGGGGGGGGGGGGGGGGGGGGGGGGGAGTTTTTCAAAGGTTTGGTTTGTTTTCTGTTCAGTGAGAAAAATAAAACATATCAGTAGGAAATGTAACAAATGTTTCAATTTTGGTCCTCAATCAAAAAAAAAAAAATATTATTTGTTTTATGTGATGTTGAGAATTGTTAACAGATAAAAAGATTTCTAAATGTCCTGAACAACTGTCACAAATAAAACTGCTGCACCTCACAATACCACAAGTGCAAATTAAGACTTATTATAGAAAAACCTGATGACCACTTATGTCCATTGCATTATAAAAGAACTGTATTGTCCTCCAAATTCCTGCAAAATTAACAATAAATGACCTCTCTAAAAAAAAAATATATATATATATATATATAAATCAAAAACAAGCTAAGATATGCAAAGATCTCCTTTCTGGGAGTCATCTTCATCATGTGCTCTGGATTCCCACCTGTTTCTGGACGCTGTGCACGCGTCCTTCACTCGGTGAGCGGGACTGCCTCCTCTCGCAGGACGGCTCCCTGCTTCGCTCCTCAGAGTTACAGCGGGACACATCAGGAGACAGCAGGTGGCGCCGCTCTTTTGATCTCCCTCTCTCGTGACTGCTTGTTTCTCTGGGGCTGATTTTGGGACCTGGAAGTGATAGTTCACATTTCACTCAAAATAAATATTTGTACCTTTGAACAGTCATTAATTCAATGTGACTTTCAGCCTCCAGTAATTAATAACACGTTCTTCCTTTCAGGTAAATTTCCAAACGCATAAAAGCGCTGATGTCTATTTATCTATGCATTTTTAACAATAAAAATTAGATTTTTTTTAATATAATGAAAATAATAAACTGAACTTAAAATAATCAATGATCTGGAAGCTAAATCTAATACTTAACATGCATAAACTTTCAATGTTGTGCTTAAAGAGAAAAAATTGACTGAATGTTTTTTGCCAAGGTCATTTCCTTTTTTGTCTGATGTAATTCTTCTGAACAAAACATCAGAAACATAACATAACATTTTATCTTTGGGAAAAGGTTGAAGTAACCTCTGTAGCTCCTTTGACGAGCTCTGAATGTGCCATCAGGGCTGATTTTCTCCAGAGAGTGTTGCTCCTGCCACAGGCCGTTCACACACTGATCTCCGATGGTGGAGAAGGAGCGCTTCATCAGCCTCCCGTCTTCTGACACCGCAGCCTTCATGCATGTGAAACGACCCAAAGACAGACAAGTAGCCGACAGCAACACCAAACAGTGATATTGTCTTTCTTGTTTCGAAAGCCGCTTCGATTTTGCGGTCAATTATTTCTCGTCAGTGCGGCGGGGCAGTAAATATGAAGGCACTAAATGCAGCTGGGGATTTTATTTGGCCACTGATTTTCACAGCACATATTCGGTCTGCAGTGGATTTAGGACTGAGTGCAGGTGATTACTTTTCATTACCTGTGGATCAACAGCCAGCCTGGGCATGGAGGATGCTCTGATAGATGCAGTGCGCTGCGGTGATTTAATAACTGTTTGGTCCTGCCTGGCCTGCTGCATCAGATGGCTGTACTCCACTACCTCCGGCACCTACACAAACAACACAAAATAGAGTATTTCTTCAGAGGAGTTGCGGAAGCAGCAAAAAAAAAAAATCCCAGCCTCTTTGAGTCTAACCTAATATACGCCACCGTACAGCAGTCTCCATAAATCTTTATATTGTATTTTGTCACATTACAATCATGTGTTATAGTAGCATATTACAGGACAGATCAACACAAAGCAGTATTGTGAAGTGGAAAGAAGAGGATACATTTTACAAATAAATATAAAAAAAAATGTAGCATTAGTATTTTGCCCTCTTTGATCTTCATTTAAATAAAATCACATTCAGCCAGGGATACGTTAGCAAAGATTGAAGACGAGTTAGGCTAGAAAATCTAATCCCAAGCTGTGAACATGTAGAGGTTTAACCTCAACTTTAAGGGACTGTCTCAGCTGAGGCACATCTGAACACCTACCAGTGTATGCAAATGATGATGATGGTGGTGGTGGTGGTGATGTGGATGGGGGTACAGGCGGTATGGTGAATGATAGTCTTCATCCTCTTCCTCCATCTTCTCTTCTCTGGAGCGAGGCCGCGGCTGCAGGAACATCTCTTGTGGAGAAATGGGGCTGAGTGCCACAAACCCTCCTCTGGTGCTGATGAGGGTTAAAAAAAAAATAAAAAAAATAAAAATAACAGAGCAGAGGAGCTACCAGAGAACGATACAGGACACATAAAAGATGCTACAGGAATGAAAGCTGAATATTTACAGAGCAGATCCGGCACTGTGTCGGAGAAATGACAGGGACTTGGCATTGCATAGGATTTCTTGAGGAAGAGAGGAAGCATCCATACGCTGAAACATGGGGGCGTGTTTCTAAGAAGAGACAGAAGTACAAGTGGGAAATTAAAATACCTACACCAATGGCAAGATGTAATAAGCAAGCTCATGTCCTTGCTTCATTGATTTGAACTGTGTTTCTTCATTACCGACTAACCTTCCACTCAAAGCTGGGGGAATTAAAAACATCCACAGCAGAGAGATTCCTTGTGCTTAATGTAACATGGCCAATAAAAATTGAGGCTAAGGATGAATCAGTGCAGAAAATTACACCAACATCACATTTTATCAGTCTGTGAATTTTGATGTTTTTGCCGTTTTTCTGGCTTCTATCTTGACTATTACTCTTGATAAGAAAAAAAAAAATCTTTGTTTTGTCCTTAACATATTTACAAACATTTTTATTTTAACTTAAATCAGGACAGCCTATAATCTAATTGCTGTTCTTATTCTCTTTGCCTTTTGATTCTTCACCGCCAGCTTTGTGATGTTTAAAGAGTTTCCTGCATGTACAGCCTGATAACAGGCCACCAAACAGCATCTCGTGAGATCAGGATCACTACAGAACTCTACATTTCTTAATTCTCAGTGAGTTTTTGGTAAATTTACTGTTATGTTTCGGGTCATTGCAATATGTAAGGGTCCAGTTTAGCTTTAGTTTTATTGTCTATGCAGTTTTATTTTCCTTAACCAGCCCCTGATATATTATGTGATGAAGTTCTGTAAGGCATTCCCAAGCCATGACACTTCCACCTCCATGCCTCACAGTGAGTATGAGTTTTTTCCCTTAGTGTTCTGTATTTGGCTTTATTCTAACTCTAATTATTATTTATTATTTAGACTCTTGCAGGCTGCTGTTAGGGTGAAATTCCACTGAACTGAGTAGGAGAGAAAACCTCCTGTTTCAGCCTCAGAATGTTAGGATATTTTAAGCATGTGCACCAGATGTAGTAAAATTAACAGGAAATCTTGACTAAATTCTGTACGACAGGGTTTTTCACCAGCATTTGGGTCTTTTTTTGTTTATCTTTCTCATGACAAGGTCTGATTTGTGAATCCATGCACTCATTATTCACTTTAACATTTAAAATGTTTTTTTTTTCCCATCAGCTGTGTCCACATTACAATATAAGATTTACCCAAAATACAGATATTTTTACAAATGTATAGCTTGTCGAACCTAGCATCTGCAGGAAGTGGACATCAATCATAACATCGGAAAATATAAACACAAATTCACAGAGATGTTCAAACCAAACCTTAGAACAAGATAAAAAAAAAACATAAATACTTGTTCCTCCAGTTGCTGGCGCAGCTTCTTGGCTTTGCTCTGCTTGTAATAATCCATGATCATCATGGCAGCATATATCTTTCCTATAGTCATGTCACTGGCTGTGAAAGAGGAAACAGAAACAGTCACACAATAACAATTAGCCATTCAGACAAATGTATTTAGAAGCATGTTTATTTATCCATGAAACAAAAATAAGCTGATGTCTTCTTGACATACAGCTAAGTAGAGGTTACTGTGAGGATTTTTACCTTTGTGAATTGGAACCAGCAGGTCCAGCGACTTCTGGGAGAGGTGAGGCCAGATAACTCCAATTTCCTTCTGCAGATCCAAATCCATTTGATTTCGATCTTCTCCTCCTGACAATGAAAAGGCAGAAACAAAAGCTTAGAGATAAACTCAAGATTTTAAGCTTTATGTGATATTTTATCACGCAGGTGTAAGATTATGACCAACCTCTTGCTATTTTGACCTCGAGCGCAGTGCGAATAAGAGCCATGAGAGTGGATGTGAAGTGGACCGTCATGTCATCGTCCACAGGCATGTTCATCAGGACAAGTCTCTGATGGAAACAGAGAGTTTACTCAGTACGTCGATATGGAACACCACACCGCACGGTGTACGATAAATGCAGATTTATTGGTATTTTCTAAAGCTTGCTCTCCTTTATGTAACAAAATGTTCACTTCTTTACAAAGAGAACAATGACTTATTTCCCTGTGTAGGAGAAAAATAAAAAAAATCAAAAAAATTTTTACAGGAAAGAAAGTTTTAAGTGTGCATGCACTCTCATATATAAATACATGCCTTAGGAAATTGCTTGGTGGTAAGAGATTGATAGATTTTATCCCTGACTGGTCTTGATTAGGCAGAAGATAAAAATGTGATCACTTGACTCCACATCCCTGATCTCTAAAACAACAACACTTTCCAGTGTGGAAGTAATTGCTGCAATAAGAAGAGTATATAAGTTATTTCTAGTATCAGTTAAGTGTCTAAATATCAAGCTTTAAACAACTGCTATTTATTTTTAGATGATTTAGATAAAAAAAAGTAACTCCCACGTTTTGTAGTGCAAAATAAATAAATAAATAAATAAAAAAGTGAGCTATAATCTGTCTTGTGAAAAAGCAAAAGCTGTGATGCATAAACACCTCAGTATTTGTATATTTTTATTAAGATATAAACTATATAAAACATTAACACTTTCAAAGTAGAAATGTTTTCTTAGAATCAAATAAAATTTGGCTGACTGGAGCTTTGCAAAACTCTTGTAAAATCAGTCAAATTATGATTTTAAGGCAACCAGCGTAAAAGGTCTAAGTGGTCAAATATTTAACATTTAACAAAATTGTCAATTATATTCTTAAGATCAATTTGTGAGAAGCATGGTGAGTAATTTGAATTAAATAGCTAAAATTCAATTTTGGTGATTACAACTTTATAGGGCCAGAAAAAGCTAACTGAATAAAACACATGTTGCTGATAATTTATGATTTTATGCTACATCAAACAAAACATTGCTCTTAGAAAGCTACATTATGTTACAAAAAGTATCAAGACAATTTAGAGATAATTTCCTTTTTTCTCTTGTAATTCGTAAAACAAAAATCTAGCTTGTTGCAAGCTTTATTCCATAAAAGAGATAAATCTGCAATTGAGCGTGCATATATATATAATCCACACTGGAACACATTGGAACAACAAACAAACCGATGCAACACACGTCCGTTGCCGCATGCACATGCAGACTTGGCAACGCAGGAGGCTGAGGAGTATGCAGGAAAGGCGAGAGGACAGCTGACGATGGCATCAGGCATGTAGATGTTTAGCAACTTTTCTCTTTCATGACCTCAAACTGCCTCAGAGCTAACATGGATAGTCTCTCGTCAGATACCAGCAAACAGAAATGATGTCTTATTTCTCTGCCAAGATGCAAAGCAAACAGGCAAATTATCGCTGATGGACAAATACTTTGACAAGCGAATCTTTGTATTACAATTCACACAAAAGATGCTTTACTTTTCTGATGTCTGACACACAAATGAAGATTCACTGCGCTTATTTCTGGTGACTGAAATACACGGCAGCACCCTTTCTCTCATGTTTGATCTACCTTATAAGCCACCTTGGAGGGGCATTTCTTGCCCAGGCCTAGAGGTGGCGACATGTTGGTCAACATCTCATACATGTCAGTGTAATGGATACGACCACTGGGGGCGCCAGGTAGCCATGAGGATGTAGGTGAGGAAGAAAGGGTTAAAAAAAACAGAGGGTGGGAGAGGAAGAGGAGGGAGAAGGGACAGGGATGGTGTTGGAGGGGAAATTTAATAAAAGGGTGGAGCAATCAGAGGAGTGCATTCCCAAAGGATGGTGGAGGAAAGTAGCACAGGAGAGGGTGAAGGGTGGCAAGAGAGGAAGAGGAATGGAGGATATAAAAGAGAAAAATTATTTTAAGGCATCACAAAACACAGAGAGAGCAAAGTAGGATAAATAAACCGGAGTGCATTTTTTCTATGCCAATCACACAGCATAGAAACATAGGAAAGGAGGAGTCCTTCAACAGGATCAGCAAAGAAATGACAGCCTCTCTGGATCTGGTCCCAAAAAAAATGACATACTTACCTTCTGTAGCATATGTGGCATTTGGCCGACACATAAACCCCAGATCCAAAAGGTAGAGAGAGACAAAACTCCCTCAGCTTGGATCAAAAGCCAACTTTGGGCGTCTAGTCAAACTAAGATTGTTCCCACTGTGATTCCAAGCAAATGAGGGACATTTTGTGCCTTAGTACCCTGACACTGAAGCACTGTCATTCTTTATCCTGAGTAACACATCCCTGAAGATTGAGCAGGGGGGGTGATAATCAGTGAAGGGATGTGAAAAAAGGAAAAGGAGGAAGTGAGGAAGGATTCCACGTAAAAGAGGCCAAAGGGACGCTTGCTGACATGGGGGAACCAAACCTTGCAAGCCACCCTGTGGGGGCAGTTCTTTCCAAAGCCCAGAGGAGGTGAGATAGTGCGTACAACTTTGTACATCTCCTTATAATGGATCCTACCGCTGGAGAGAGCACACATGTCATTATAGAGAACACAACAAGGATGGAAAAGGCTCTGTTCTTTAAGTTTAAACATAACAACCTGGATAACAAAAACAAAACAAAACAAAAAAAAACATTCACTTTAATTTCTGATTCATATCATTTTACTAAGAGGGAATTTTGGTAGCTGCATAGTTACTTTGATTTAGAGCAATTATCATATTTCACACTCAGAAAATATAGAAAACATAAATAAAGAACAAACTGCTTTTCCATTTTTTTCAAAGCAAATATTTTAAGCTATGATAATAACACTTTTTTGACAGAACATGAGCTTTTAGAGATTGGCCTGGTATAACAGAAAGAGCATTAAATTATGTGGAAGGTGATGCCATGTGTAACTGTCAGAGTATATTCTTGAGATATGACAACACAGTAAGTGAGGAATAGAGCACTTTTCCTTCCCCCAAAGTTCTTCCACACAAGGAAACATGGGTGAGATTTGTGAAAGCAAACATGTGGATTATGAAATGATTCAAATTATGAATTTAAGAAGAGGAAAAACCACGGCCAAGCAACAAGGGCACACAGATCGTGCCACTGCTCCGACAGACTGCTCTACTGGAGTCAGCAGCCAGACCATCTGGACCAGTCAGGGTGTCAATTTATGGAAAAATAAACTTTCTCTGCTCGGAAAATGTACTGTTTCGTTAAATTAAACCAACTAGCACTCTACCCAAATGTTCCTCCTTTATGCTCACCCATAAAATTAAGCTGCAGCAGCGACTTGTTTTCTCTCAGTGACTGAGCCAAATGAGCAACAGACTGTGTGGCAGCATTGTGACTTCCCTTCCAACAACATAACATTAACTTGAAGGGAATTTTAGGGACCATCTGGTGCGTAATTGTGAGTAAACTAACTTTACATGGAAATACAATACAAAGCAATATTTACTTACTGACACAGTGCACGTGTAATGTCAGGCGATTAATTTTCCACTACAGTGAATTATAAGGCAGACTAGGTCAGAGAAGGCTTTAAATTCCTGGGCGGGGTGCCAGTATGTTAGGTCTCTAAGGTAATGCTCCTCAGGTAAGTTTTTCCTGCCTTTGTCTTGCTTTGCAACAATAAAACATCGTCACATTCTGGTAACTTTTCTTTGCATGTTGAGCTGCTACGCCCGGTGTTATTTTCTTTAATGCTTTTTGACATATTTCTCATCTTGGAACATTGAAGGGGTGTAACTTTTCTTTACGAGCAGATCTCAGCTCTTTGGAGATCAGCCAGTATGATGACCAGAAGACACGAGAACCTGACTCAATACTATAATGTCTTGACA